CATCGGGGGAAAGTGAACCCGCAAAAACCCCCGTAACCGGCTGGAATGACCTCTGCGAAGTCAGCTCCGAGTCGGCCCCCAGCAGCCGTCCGGGCGACAAGCAGCTCCCTCAAGATAATCCTCAGGGTGGTGCGGAAAGAGCAGGTGTTTTGGACAACAGTAAAGACCCGCTGGCTGAAGCCTTCCAGAAAGTTTCAATTGTAGATGGGGATGACAACGGAAGCGCGTTGGAAAGGGAGCAGAACGTCGCTAAACATAAGAGCAACGTCTTTGGCAGTCTGCATGCCAAGACACCGCATTACATTGAAGTGCTGGAGTCTAGAGCCAAGAACCCCATCATCAAGAAAAACAAGTTTAAAACAAATATGTAAGTATTAAAAGAGTAAGGTTGGGGGGGGAAGTAATTGATTTGGATGAAATTAGAAATTATAAGATCAACCATAATAGATTTATTTTCTTGTGGTGGTTGCAGAGATTTGAAATCATACGACTTTATGCTATGTCAGTATATTGGTTCTTCAGCATTATGTGCAGACTATTTTGGAATCCTACCCATTTAAAAAAATGTAAGTCTTCATAGTACGTTGTGGCCTGAGCTGCAAAACTGCTAAACAATTGGCAGAACTTTCTCATGGGTTATGCAGCACTTTACTACTATCTGACCTTAGCTCTTTTTCCATCACTGCAGAGATTGCGATTCACACTGTATGGATAGCAGTGATGGTTTATGCTTTCCTTGATTGTTAAGATGCTGCTCTTTCATGTTTGCTCCTTAGTTGTCAGACTGTTCTGCTCACTATCAGGGGCAACCTGCAGGATTGTCTCTCTGTAGAAAACCTGTATCTGGCTAAACGACGATTCACCTTTTAAGGTGAATTAAATAGGTGAAAAAGATTCACCTTTTTAGCTGTTTAATATACTGCTCGTTTTTTACTTGTGTGTGGTGTCATAACACTTCGTATGCTCTTTAAACTTTTTAGCTCCTACATGTTAAGAGTAACGTGGTTTCAAAAGTGAAATTAATCAACCTCGTTTTGCAAATTTGGTTCATGGGTTGTATGTTCTATTGTTTACAGATTATCAAGCGAGCCAAGTGGATCATCGCAGGGTGCCTCATCCAGTCAGTCCCCAGGGGGATCTGGCTCTCCGGTGACTCCTGAAGAACGACGACTTAGGGACAAGAAACATTTGAATGACATCACAGCAGCTCGGCTACCACCACTTCATCATGCTCCCGCTAAGTTGTTATCTATAGAGGAGTCCATAGCAATTCAGATACAGCAAAAAGAAGCTTATGAGGTATGTATCTATGACTTGGTCTGAAAAGTAATTACCCTTCTGAAATTTCTATTCATGCATTAAACAAAAATCTGTCATTAGTTTTTTTGTGCAGCTGTGCTAACTGCATTGCAATTGCTTCATCTCTGACTAAAATTTCAAGGTGCCGTGCCTATTATTTTTAATGAGTTTATAGCCCATGCATAAGTGAAGGCATATTAATGTTTGGTATTCCTAGAACATGCAGGTAGGTACACCTGGCTTAGTTTATTCTGTGTGTGAATATCCTGAGTTCTGAAGTTCTTTGAAATTTAGGAGATCTCATGCTGAATTTCTCTAATGCGTTTTCATGTGGACTCGCCGCTTCTGTAGAGGCTGTGTTGCTGCTTACCATTTTTAAAGCACATGCTAATTTAATCTTCTTGTCACTCAAAGGGAGGAAATTAACTTGAAAAATGGAAACAGACTGTTTGCTGAGTGACAGGCTTTGTTCTTGGCTACATAGCTTCTGTGCAAGGCTGCTCTCCTATGTAGACCGATTTTGTTCCTTTAGAGCTGGCATTAGTGTATGTTAGATGATGCTTGTCACACAGGCATAAAAAGATCTTCAAAAATTAATAGCACAACTATGTATTAAAGGTTTTTTTTCCACTAATTACTAGAAATTTAACATAAGATCACTCTAGAGTTACTGGTAGTATTATTATGACAAGTTTTTCCTTTGGAGGAGTCTTCTGTTGATGAGGATAAGCTTGAGAAATGAATACTTTTCTTAACTTGATTTTTTTTTTCCAATAGGAAATGCAAGCCAAACTTGCAGCACAGAAACTTGCAGAAAGACTGAATATAAAAATGATCAGGTTTGAACCAGAGGGGGAGGCCTCAATGCAATACAGAGAAGTGAGAGATGAAGATTATATTTCGGGAGAGGACTGAGTTCAAGAAGGGATGCCTGAAGATAAGCCACATAACTGATTTTTATGCAGCACTTCTTAAAACTCCAAACCTGGATAATGGAAATTCTTGACCTAGTGATTTTTTTTTTTCTTAAAATTATAACATTGCAGCTATGGGAAGGGTTCGGTGTCAGCCTTATGAGTGTAAGAATATGTACTTTAGGTCATTTGGAATCTCTTTCCAGAGCATCTGGGATAGTTAACCCTTGTGAAAAGACCAGTGTTTTGTTTTCAGATATAGCAGAGAGAGCTCCTTTTGCAGCCTATGATGAATCATCCTGCAAGAGAAGGCATCATTTGGGAAAAATGCTCTTAAAAAGGGTCTTGACACACATGTCCATAAAGTAAGCTAAGGTGCCTGTGAGCTACTTCATGGAAACTTCATGTATGAAAGCTCTTGTATAAATGTGGGATAGTTCTTTTACTTAGGCATAATCTATTTAAGATTATCTTGCTTTTATGGTGTGGGGAAGATGTATGCATGGACAGCCATGATAAATACACGGTAAGTTAGGCTGTGAAGTTATGTTCTTACCACAGGAGAGCTTGTTTCTGTGCTGATACCCTAAAATAAGAGGTTTGCCCTTGTGCTGCAAATAGGTAAGAATTTCAAGTTATTTTGTAACTCAAATTCTGTTTGGACTTTAAGGAACTCTGCTGTTTTATTCTTCATGATTACTACAAAGCACATCAAGAGGTCAGATGAATCTGAAAACTTTAATATCTATATTAAAGGCCTTGTTGTTTTTCCATATTTTTGTACACTGCTTTCAAGCTTTGGAATACTATTTTTTCATATTCTGATAATGTAAATCAATAGAGATCCATTCTGTGGTTTTCTTGGAGAAAATAGGTGAAGTTTGCAGGTTTTGCTGTTCCTTAAGGATAAAATTATTCCAAACAAAAACATTTCCTGCCTTTTATTACAAATTTTGACAGATGAGCAACAGAACTCAAAACTATTTCACAATGATATTCCAGTGTCGACTAGGATTTCAATCAGGATTATGTATTCAAACCCTATCATGAGTTCATTTTTGTTTTAGAAAACAAACCCCCCAAATTCCTTATAGGGCCTGTCAAAAGCTGATTTCTGAGAAACTGCTGCAGCAGCCTGTGCAGGGCAGCAATGGGTGCAAGGGCCTGTCTGGATGAATGCATCTTCCTGCCGGAATGGGATCACTGGAAACCAAGAATCTTCCAGATGCAAGTCATCCAAAAAGCTGCATAATGTTATTTAGAAATGTGGGATGAGAGCCTTTCTGCCATTTTTCAAGGGTAAAAAGCTAATTCCATAACCACCATTTTGCTAGCAGACAGTTAGCAGAGTAGCAGAATGCTCCATAAACTCTTCTGAGCATTCCCTGTGGTAAAATCCCTATCCTATCACCTATTGCTCCCTCTTTTTGCTTTCTGCAAATCCATCTAAATACCAGCTGTGCACCCAGACATCTAGATACTTTGGTCATTTGAGTATCTTGAGATATGAAACATGAATGCTTTTGACAAGTCTTCCTGTGCGGATACCTGGCAAACTTTGTCATTCCCTTCACTGGTCAGCATCCATGGTGGTGGCCTGGCTGGTCCCTCAATCACACGTGTTAATCTCAGTCGCTTTGCTGTGCGTGGCCCTGGGCTGGTGGAGCGCCTTCCTCTCCTGTGGGTGCAGGTCACCTCTCACATCGCTGTTGTCCACACTGCTACCTGCTAGGGCAGCAGAGCCTTCTCGTCACCCTTCCCTCTTTTCAGCCTCCTGTGCTAATTCAGGACAGCAGGCCTGAGAACTGTATCGGCTTTCCCTTCACTGATGCATGAAGCACAAGTTGTTACCACTTCTAGGCCTGTTTGCTTCTCTCCACCTTCTTAAGGCAGTCACCCTTGTCCTTGTACTGACTGTGCTGCCAGACACTTTTTAAGTTATTATTTGTAGTTTTTCCATGCTGGCTTTTTAGTGCTTAAGGAATTTATGCAAAGGTACACACCTAAGGGTTAGTTTTGCAGATTCCTGGAGACTAGCTTGACTTAGGCTGCTGCTGACTCCTGCCTTCTCAGGCTAACTAAAATTATGTTCTTTTCCATGTGCTTTCCAGGCTTATTTTTGCTTTCCAAACTTTTGAAGTAGAAAGTTTTCTTGACTCATGTCTCAACAGCATTTCATATTTGGGACTTTGCCAAAGTGGATCCCCTGAAAGGGTAAACTTCTATAAATAAAAAATTCACTGTAGTAAGAGGTGAAGTGTGTTACGTACTCATTGTGCCATTAGCAGCTGTTTAGCAAAGTGCTGCGGGAGCCCGTGGGGATAGGAGTGCTGTGTGGATGCCAAACCAAGATTCAGGTGTAAACTGTAAGATGTTTGTTGAACAACAGCCCTTCTTGGGGCCTCTTCTGTCCCAGCTTTTGAGCATAGGTATGTACATGTCTTTTGGAATTCAGATCTTGGCAGTGACAAAGCAGAGAAACAGTTTACAAGAAGAGTCCCATGGTGAGGAGGATGTACAATTCAAAAGTTTGAAACAGCTTAGAGAAGAAGATGATGAACCCTGGAATGGTTTAGTTGCGTGAAATTAATTTTCTGACCAAGTATGGTCTTGTGTATTTCACAGTTCCTCAGTTCCACAAAACATTTCAAAACATACATTGGCAATTGAGGAGCTTGCCCTGCTGTATTAGAGTAGACTATAACTCAATAGAAAATAAAGAATTAAAAAATATGTTGCTGAAGTAATTTCTTGTGTGAATAATGTTTTGATCATGTAAAATTTGAAGTCAAATTTGGGGCAAATCAGATCTTTTGTTTCAGTGCTCAGGAAGGAAAACAGTGTAAGATCCCAAGCTGGGCAATCACACAGGTGTGGAAGATGTCCCAGAGACAGGTATTAAATAGCATGCCACAAGGGTGAGAGCTGTAGCATGTGAGGCAGGTGTCTATAAGAGGCAGCAGCTGTAGTATCTAGGTTTTGCCAGCTTTGGTGATACATGATCTGAAGGAATCAGCAGCTTGGAAATTATTTGAATTCCTGGGAAATAACACGAGAAAGAAGAAAAGCCTAAATGCTGCTGTACGTGGTTATTTTCCCTGACTTTGAGAGTGACTATAGGACAGAAAAGATGTAGAAGTGTTGCCTGCTTTTGCAGATCAGTAGATTGCTATTAGTAGTTTTATGTCTGATAGTTTGTGAATGGCCTCTGATGGCTGTGCAATTAAAACCAGCAGTGTCAGCTGCAGATTCCCACGTGGAGGATATGGGGCCTGCAAATGGAGAATTTAAGAACCTGGCTCTATGCTATGCAGTTTCTGAACATGCCACAGGAACACTGTCACAGGTCAGTGTTTGTGCTTGTGTGGAAGCCACCGCAAAGCTGGTTTGCTCGGTGACAGGTTCTGGCGCGGCAGTCTCTGGCCGTGTCCATGTCGCAGAAGCGCCACAAGCTGGCAGCCTTTCGCAGGCTGAGGGAGGAGGTAAGACCTGGCCAGTCCGAGCTGTAACAAGAGAGATGGCTGGCTCAGTTTTTTGCACCTCCGCTGCAGCGACCTTCCTGTGGATGCAGGAGGCTGGTTGTCACCTCAGTTCTGTGGCGATGCTGGGTTTGCCAGAGGCAGTCATCGTGCAGAATCCTGTTCACGATGTTTTTGACTAATGTGAGCTGCACCTAGCTCATGGTCTGCCTCGGACAAGCTAGTGCCTCTAAGGAGAGCCCTTGGGCCAGTGAATTCCTGGCCTTTTGTGTCAAATAAATGGCCTAAAAGAGACTGGGAATAGGAGTCCTGTATTGAAATACGGCATGCGCTACCCTAGGGACTCTGCAGTCATAAAAGGTAGCCTTTCCCAAGTTTCCCAGCCTTGCTTCTTTTCTTGAGCAGTCTAGGAAGGAACTATAATTTCTCCAAAGACAAAACCTTGGAAAGACAAAGATTTGGGGAAGGAGGACTCACATGGTGTGGTCTATTTTCCATTTCCTACCAAGAGGTAGGAATTAAACTGTGCTTTTTAGGAGTTTGTGGTTCACATTTTCTTGCAAGGCCACTGCTGTTAGGGTAGTCTGTGTGGGGATTATGGCAGAGATTTTCTGGTTTCCTTATGTTTGGATTTGTGTTGTGAACTCTCACGATCTGGGAGGCAAAAGGAAGTACAAAAGCTAGCTTGTTTGGGGAAAAATAAATATATATTTTTTTTGCTGTGGTTTTTTTTGGTAGACTGCTGATTATGTTTTCTTCTCATGCTTCTGCAGTGCTGTGTCACTGCTGCCATCGTGGCAAGCAAATGTTATCTCACTGCAGTCCAAACACTTCATACTCCCATTGACTTTACATGGGATATGAGTGCCTAACTCTCCTTGACTCCCTTGTAAATACTGTAATTGCCATTCCATGCCCTTGCAAATCTTTTCAGACATTGAGTGATCTCTTCTTTCAAACATCTGTTTTGATTGTTTAGTTATCAAGATCTTACTAAATTGGCCCTTGATTTACTGAAGCATGAAGGCAGGTGCTGAAGTTGGAGCTTGATGCCTCTAGGAATATTCATGTGCGTGTAAGTGCTCTGATGGACTGTAATACTGGTTCTGTGTTTAGCTTCATCTCCCTGCACAAGTGACTGCGAGAATAGGAGCTGTGAATAATTAGTGAGGAGAGGGCACAAACAAGAACAGTGAAATATGTATGGGAGGCAAATTTATTTTTAATTTGAACTAAGCATTTCATTTTTTGGTCCTTTGGATATAAGTAAGTATGTACTCTAGCATTAAATATAAGAGATTTCTTACGGGGGAAATTCATACAAATTTGTACCGTGTGATGCCTTCACTGTTTTCCTTTCAGATTTGATATTGGGAACCATAATTGCATCAAGCACAAATTGGCACATCTCCACTGATCTCCCTCAGGAGATCAGTGGGGCCATGATGCTTGATGAACATGTTCATATTTCATCCTTTTATCCATACAGCTGGTATTAATGTAGTTACTTGTTGGATCAAGGCCATGGTGTAGTGTGGCAAGTAGCTGAAGCCCAAGATTTGGCCGAGTCCCTAAGGCTGAGCACATGATAGGAAATATTATTTGTAAACGTCTGCTGAATAGAAACTTCAGTTGCAAAATTTCTCTCCATCCTTTTCTTCTGTTCTC